AGTTTCATAATCATTGACCTTGATGAGGATGAACATAATAAAATACAATGTTGACTTAAATTTAGTTTAGTAATTTTGGCTCTAATGTCAGACAATTGGTTCCTAGCCCTATCCATTATAACAAAAAAAAATCCCTTTATTTTTCAAAAGTGCTTCCTTTTAAAATAGTGTTATCAGGGAAATGATGAGTTCATTGGAAAATGTGGCTATGCTCTATTCTTCACATGGAGTGTACTTGCCAACCTCCATGAAGGGTGAGTGAACAACGCCCAACATAACACATTTTTTCTGAGAACAGATTTCAAATATAGAACAGAAAGAGATTATAAAACCGACAACTGTATATAAACATTAGATTTTTGTGATCTTTGGTGTGTAGGGGGAGGGTGGGTAGAAGAAGTTTATGCTTTTTGAATAAACCCTTCATTATGGTAAACCACATCTATTATGTGTTGCTGCACATACTATTCCAGACTCTCCTCTAATCTCACAAATTGAGTGTTTTTTTTCTGCTCAGTATTTGTGGGAGACCCCCCCCCAGGATTAACCCCAGGTTGCTTCAGGAGATGGTGGAAAACTGGCAGATCTAAAAAGCCTTGATAACACATTTCAGGTAGCCAGTAGGCCTTTTATTAATAAAAATGCTGACATGTGGTGCATTCCAAGGAGCAACATTTGCTCTTCATGAGCCAATGCAAAGTAAGGCAAGACTTAAAAACAAGTTTGTGGGTGTTAAGGATTCCATGGCACTGCATACAAGAATAGAGGGCAATGTGATCTCTCTCTCACTTGAATATCCAGTAGAGGATTGAGTTGGGAGAACAGGAAACCAAGTCAGTATTTTCAAGGTTTGGGGTGTTTAAAATTAGCCCCTTAAATTCTGCTACTGTTCTTTGTCTTGCTCAGCCACTAACTGTGTGATCTTAGGCAAAGTCAGTGAGGTAATATCTTGTATTGGACCAACCTCTGTTGGTGAGAGATGAGCTTTCGAGCTACACAGAGCTCTTCATCAGGTCTGGGGAAAGGAACTCTTAGTACATTCCCTGACCTGAAGAAGAGCTCTGTGTAGCTCGAAAATTTGTCTCTCTCACCAACAGAAGTTGGTCCAATAAAAGATACTGCCACAACCACCTTGTCTCTTGGATAACCTGGGATCAACTTGGCTACAACAACACTGCATGATCTTGGGCAAGTCATTTAGGCTTAAATTGTTATGTGCCCAGTAATTTTGGACACCCCTGTTTTGGCTGCCCAACTTGAGAAACCCATGGGTGTTAAGAACCTCACAGTTCCAGTTGATTTCAGTGGGAGCTATAGGTGGAAAATCCAGGCACTTAATATCTTGAATTGAGCACCAAAAATGAAGTCTTTTGAAAATGTAAGGCCTTAATCTCTCTTCTCTGAGTTTACCCATCTGTAAAATTTCATATTAATAATACTTACCTCAGAGCTATTGTGGTGTTTAAGGAACTAATGGTTTAAAGAGTTTGGGATTGTTAGATAAAGGCAGTACCATAACTTTTTCTCATTAATAATAATTTTCAAATATCAAAAATGATTTGTTTCAAACTGTGTGATGAATGAAGTTTTGGGTTAGTTCCTGTTTAATTTTCACTACATTTCTGATTCCTGATTGAGGTTTTGTGTACACTGAAAATTTGCATCAGTTAACTAAAATTGATTTAAAATCGATCTTGTAAAATCACTTCAGATTCCTAATGCAGATGGTGTTAAACCAGATTAACTTTACTGCATTCAGTTTCTTTTAATTCAGATACAGTCTGAACCCATTTAAAAGCAAGCATTAAACTAATTTAAGTACATCTATGTTACGGGTTTCCACCTATTTAACTGTATTGATTTAATTAAATCAATTAAAAATCCGTGCAATTTTTCCAATACAGAGAAGGCATCAGATGTGGTATTCTAAGATTCTGTCTGCACCTCCCTGCACACTTTTAAAAAAAAAAAACAGTTTTTCCCTGGCCCTTTTTTATGTACTTATGTAGAACACCAGTGAAAGTTCTTCTCTGTGGTTTCTTTTAATTGCAGTACTGCTTTGTAATGCATAATGATTGTATCTTATAGTAGCACAATGAATTTTATGTTGACACCCATATTTAAAATTATAGGTAAAACAATCCAGATCAATTTACTGTGTTGCCAAATTCTGCCCTCAAATATGCCTACCCAACTCCCATGATTTCTGTTAGACTTGTGCAGACATATCTCAGAGCAGAAAGGGAAATTAAATGTTTTAAAGGTGTAGAAAGATTGGTTTATCTGATCTCTGATGTCTCAGGAATAAGGAAAATCTCTATTTTCCTTCCTTTTTCTGAAGATAAGTTTCCCAAAACTATTAACGTTCCTCCCCTCTGAGCATTGTTTTAATCAAATAGTTTATTATTCTAAGCTGTGGGGTGAAGTTATCTGGCTTTCACTGCCAGAAACATCACTTGAACTGCAGCTTCTCACAACATGATTTTGTGCTCTTTGAGGTTGTATCAAACATACTGAGAATTTGTTAGCCTGGATATAAAAATAACAGCAAGGCTTGATTTTGCTTCATTTCATTGTTTCCTATGAAGAGCAATATTTCCAAAGATTTTACAGGCTGGTTCTCAATCAATCCAGCCAGCCAACAAATGACTCTGACTCTTGAAAACAGCTGTAGTTCTGATTTGCAACTCTAGCTTTATGACAACGTAATGCTACTCTAGCAGGGCTCAGTTTAAAAACAAAATTCTCATCTGCTTCAAACACTTTCATTTTATTTAGTGGGCTAATGGCTACGAGATTTGTTTTTGTTATTTAAATGTAGCATCTTTAGCCATTATAACAAGGTGCACTGTATATTAAAAAAATAAAGTGGGGTTAAGATTGAGGCTATGTATCTTTCACTTAAGGATAAAATTTTTTATGAGAACTTTGTAGTTTTCTAAATAAAATAAATAAAAATAGAAAACCAGGATATTGAGTGTTAAGATTAAATTTAAATAAATGTAAACATCTGAAAGTATGGAAAATGCACATTTGGCTGACAAGAAGATTGCTAGCAATAGCTCAACTATCACATTAAAACTATTATTTGTATTATAATAGTAGCCAGAGATCCTAATAAAGATCTGTGCCTGTTGTACTACGCATAAGACGTAGTCCTGGCCCAAAGGAGCTCATAATAACACTACTTGCATTTATCTAGTGCCTTTATCCAAAATTATCAAAGCATTTAACAATTTAAACCTCATAGTATCTCTTTGAGAGGGGTAAGTAACACATTTAATTTTACAGAGGGGGAACTGAGGCACATGACAAATGACTTGCTCAAAGTCCAAATTCAGTCAGTGGTGGAGTGGAGAATAGAACCGAGCACATCTTACTCCCACTGCTTTGCAGTGGCCGCTAGATCATCAAGTATTAAATGATTAAATATCAGTCTATGCGCTTATACTCTGGTTTAGTTAAAGTGGAAAAAGGCACTCTTACTCTGGAATAAGTTTGTCCACATGGGGACTTACACTGGTATAACTATAGCAATATAATTTTGCCTGTATAATTATGCAGGGGAGTTTCACCAAGTAGACAATCGTTGAGCCACAGTGGTTTCCATCCCCTCTCTACCACTTACATGCACGTGATTAGGATTGCTAGGGTGGAGGAGCTTCCAAGGTAACCTGTGAAAGTCCTCTGCTCCAGGAAACTCCACTTCTGTAGCAACAATAGTCATCAGATCCTCAGCCTCTTGACATCTTAATGAATATCCTCACTCAGGGCATGTCTACACTAGAATCTTAAGTCGACCTATGTTAGGTTGACAAGACAACCAATGTAAGGAACACAGTGTCTACACAGACCCTGTGTCGCCCTAACTACACCAACATAAGCTCTACACCTCTTTTGGAGGTGGAGGGCAGGTCTACACTACCGCTTAAGTTGATCTAACTTATGTTGATTAGGGATGATTAGGGAACTTATGTCGATTAGTGCCCTCCACTCCCCAAGCATTGCAATTTTCGCACTGTCCACACCAACGCTATGTCAGTGGGAGATGCTCTTCCGCCAACATAGCTTGTCTCCAGCCGACATCGCTTATGCTTCTTGCCAAGGTTGAGTAATTATGCTGATGGGAGAGCGTTCTCCAGTTGGCATAGTGCGTCTTCACCAGACATGCTACAGGGGCACAGCTGCATTGACTCAACTATGCCGATGTAGACTTGCCTGGAGTTATGTCTTCGGTGTAGTAGGGCACTTACATCGGCAGGAGCAAGGCTGTAGTGTAGACACTGACATAGTTAGGTCGACATAAGGTGTCTTATGTCGACCTATCTCTGTAGTGTAGACCAAGCCTCAGTATCACAGGTGCTGACTTTTATTTTTCCTGGTGAGTGCTCCACCCCCGCTCTTCTTCCCTGAGATCCCGCCCTCACTCCCCCTCTTCCTGCCCTCGAGCATCTCTCTCCAGCTGCCAAACAGCTGATCGGTAGCCCCGCCATACAGATGTGGCTAGTGAGTGCTGAGCACCCCCTGTTTTTTTCCCCGTAGGTGCTTGAGCCCCGTAGCACCCACGGAGTCAGTGCCTATGCTCAGAATCCTTTGGATTCCATCCTCTACTCCATTCCCTGCCCTATCCTGCTGCTTCCCTTTCTGTCATCACCACTTCTTACTTTGCTCACTTGTTCCATCTGTAAGCAAATAACATGTAGCCCTAGTAGAGTAGCTAAAAACTATGTATCCCATCACCTCGTACCCTGCTTCCTCTCTCTTTTGTCTGTTTAGATTGTAATTTTTTTCATGTAGGGATATGTCTTTTGTTTTTTTAAATCTCTCTAATAGTGCCTAGAACGTTTTTGGATTGTCGATGAATAAATCATAGACCGGAAAAAATTTACAGAAATTGTTAAATCTTAATTAAATATTTCACTATTCACCAGGAATAATTAATTGATCATTTTTAAAAACAAATTGTGAATTTAAACTAATTACCAAATTGTTATTTCCAGATGCCGAGCCAAGATACTTGATTACGGTGCGACCTGCACCCATTCCAAATCACAAGAAAACCTGCTCAGGTACTGTAACATTATCACATTTTGTATATACAGTCAAATCAAGACAGAATATTGTTTTTATTTAGTGTGTCTGAAAGAACCAAATTTTCTGATGTGGATGACCAAATCCAACATTTGTGTGATTAAAATAAAAATGTAGGCATGTACATCTACACAGTAGTCACTCATGGATGTTCTGATTAAGAAACCTAGATGCAGTTTTTGGAGGTCCTTCTTTATAATAAGTTCTCATTATGAAAACTGAGATTTAACATATTTCTTTTTTCTAGAATATGGGGATCAAAAATGCATATGAAAAGTTGACGTAGCTAGTGGGAACATTGATACACAGTTAAACAATGGATTCGGTCTTGAAATGTACTGATTTATAATCTTTGGAATTCTTGGGTTTGGGTTGGATAGGAGATTAATGTTTTATAATCTCCCCAAAATGCCAGTTAGGAATCTTTCTCCCGTAGAAATTTTAATGCATTCCATTGATAAAGTAAAGGGTCTTTACATATATATATTATGAGAGAGACCAACTTCACTAATACACGTGCTTAAGGGAAAGGATGGTTTTCTTGCTAAAGCTGCAAGTCTGGTAATAAGGAAATCTGAGTTCTGTTTCTGGCCTCTGCTACAGATTTCCTGTATGACCTTTAGCAAGTCATTTCAGCATTCAGTAATTTAGTTCCTAATCTTAAAATGGAGCTAATTCTCTGCTTCACAGGGGTGTGGTGAAGAATAATTGATTGATTGATGTTTTTAAAGTACTTGAGATCTTCAGTTGGAACTTGTTTAATGATTTGTATTTTTTGGGGCCTAATATATTTGTCAGGGCCCTTGAAGGCATGAAGCAATATTTTTCTCCATTAGATGCACATAGAAAATACTTGATAACAGATTGCTATTTAACAGCTATTCAGGTACAGTATTTAAAAAAATAAACTGCCTAAAGCCATGGTTTAGGATTATTAATTTTAATAGTGCTTCAGTCATGGGGAATTTTAATTGGATCATTCCCACTAGAGATGGACCTGAACCAAGCTCCCTGATCAAACACTGCTAAGTATGCATAACTTTGGATTCTGGTCCAAACTTTGCAGCTGACCTCTTTCTCTCTAATGGGCTAGGCCACAACTCCAGATGCAAGCAGTCTTGATCTCTGGGGAAACTTAGTTCTGAAACTTGCATTCTCTCATTCTTAGCATCGTCACTACATAACTTAAATTAACATTGGCACACTCAGCAATGTCACAATCAAATATTTTTTAACTAGGGTTGGGAGAACTAATTTAGATAAAATAACATCCTCGAATTTCAAGCATTACTGCTTGTCCTCTTGTTGTAAAAGCTTTGTTTATTTGACAAATAGTAGTTAAAGACATTCCCTGCTCTTGAAAGATAGACATAGAAAGGACAAAATGTACTGGGAGACAATGAGCAAAGGTGAAGTTAATGACATTTTTCCCCCCTTTCCCTTCTCTCTTCAAGTGTTAAGTTGAAGAAGGCATTGGACTGATGTGAGTTAGTGCTTGTGTGGACCTCAGGGAAGAAATGAGTCTTTATGATGGTCACATGGTCTCTTGCACTTCTGTGACACTGCATACCAGACTTTGTCTCCAATACTTGCAGGATTGGCTGAAGCTAGTTTGCACGCTTGTAAAGCTGGAGTCCAGCTTCCCAGAGCTCAAAGAGAAATTATAATTACTTTAGAAGGTTCAAATTGCTTTTCTATTAATGAAAATGTCTGTTTCAACATATAGCAAGGCTTCTCTATAGTATATAATAAATCAATAATTAAAATTTTTATATATATATAAAATATAAAAAACCACAGCAGTTACAGATGAAAAATGGGCTTTTCTCTTCTTGTATTTCCATGTTCATGTGACCCTTGGTTCCCCAGAAAGCAAATTTAGAGAGTGATTTCATTGTAAACAGGATATGTGCCAGAAAGTTTGACAAATAAATGAACTATGAAAACAACCCCCCCAAAAAACCCTATAAGAAAACAGGGAGACTGGGGAATCTAGCCTACACATCAGGCAAATGTTTGGAGTTTTGCCTTTCTTTTTTAAATGTTGTACATTACATCACAGCACACTTCATCTAAATGGGGAAAAAAATCCCACTTTTTTTCTGTGAATATGCTCCCAATCAATGTAGTGTAAAACACACATACTACAGGGTTTTCCAACTACCTGCAGACTGCTTGGAAAGGCAAATCTCGCTTCCTTGTGGACTTACTGGGAAATCCCGTTAGAGCACAAAACCACTTCTTAACCCTTTGGAGGTATCATTGATAAAGAGGTGAGGAACTCCTACCAGTGGCTGAATAGCACTTCCAATTTAAGGATCAAGAGGCATGAACAGAGAACTGAACCAAGATTTTTGCCAGACAATGCAGAGCACTACCCTCTAGATCATTGCACTAGCCTCAGGCATTAGCTTTTAAAACTTTATTTAAAAGTTCTTCATCTTTGTTTTATTGTATCCTCCTTCTCCATGGAAGTCGCATAACAGTCCCCGCCACCTCCTGTCCAGGGCAGAAAGTGATTCACTGAGGGGAGCAGAGCAGGCAGCTGCTATCCAGGGCAGCAGCAGAACCATGGCTGGCTCCAGGGCCGGCTTTAGGCCAATTCCACCAATTCCCCCGAATCGGGCCCCGCGCCTAAGAGGGCCCCGCGCCCAGTGGCAGGGCCGCCCAGAGTGGGGGGCAAGTGGCAGAGAATTCCTTCCCTGGCTAGAGGCACCTTTTTAATTTTTACTCACCTGGCGGCACTCCGGGACTTTGGCGGCAGGTCCTTCAGTGCCGCCGAAGACCCGGAGCGAGTGAAGGACCCGCTGCCAAAGACTAGGAGCGCCGTACGGTGAGTACAAACCCCACGTGTTTTTTTTACATGTTTGTTTTTTTAAGTCATCCCTGTCGGGGCCCCGTCGAAACTGTTCGAATCAGGCCCCGCAATTCCTAAAGCCGGCCCTGGCTGGCTCAATTCCCTGAGGAGCCCATGGGGGGTACAGAGTGAAGCAGACTAGAGTTCCTTGCCTTCCCTCCCCCCGGCCAGAACCTCTCACTCCTGCAGGCTCCAGAGTTTTTAAAATACATGAGCACCGACTGGCCAGGTGTCTGGGCTAGAGCAGGCACTAGTGGGGACAGCACGCAGGTAGCACCCAGCAGCCAGGGAGGAGGAGGGGAAGAGCAGCATGCTGCTGCTGGGTTGGAGCTGGGCTGCACTCCCTCATCTCTCCCTGACCACCCGGGACTCCCTGCATGCTTTTTCTGCTGCTGCCCTGGGCAGGCCTGGACACCTGGCTGGCTGCAGCCCCACACCACCCTGATAAGCACATTGTGCCCCCCCCAGAGGGGCATGCACGCCCCACAGTTTGGGAACCTCTGATCTAGAGGGATGATTGCACCACTGTGTTCAGAGTAAAACTAAATTGCAAGTATTGTCTAAGAGCTGAGGAGTTAAATTACCTGATTGGTGAGGGACAGACCTCGCCAGACAGAGGCACCACTCAAGGCTTGTCAACAATCTTAGGGTACGTCTATACTTACCCGCTGGTTCGGCGGCAAGCAATCGATCTTCTGGGATCGATTTATCGCGTCTTGTCTAGACGCGATAAATCGATCCCGAAAGTGCTCGCCGTCAACGCCGGTAATCCTGCTCCGCGAGAGGAGTAGGCGGAGTCGACGGGGGAGCCTGCCTGCCGCGTGTGGACCCACGGTAAATACCTTTAAGTTCGAACTAAGATACTTCGACTTCAGCTACGTTATTCACGTATCTTAG